AAGTATAAAGAGGTATCAACATGAAAACTTGTAGGTAGATAGATCTCATTGAGTAGGTGGTGCAGTGCACAAGAACCGTAACTCTGTTTGCCTTATTTTTGAATTATTCCCCTTTTTTACTTTACCTTTGAACTTGTCCGGAACATAACTCTAAAAGTATAAGAGGTATCAACATGTAAACTTTGTAGGTGATAGATCTCATTGAGTAGGTGTGCAGTGCACAAGAACCGTAACTCTGCCATGCCTAATTTTTTAATTATCCCCTTGTTTTATTTTACACTTTGAACTTTGTCCGGGACATAACTCTAAAAGCTATAAGAGGTATCAACATGAACTTTGTAGGTAGATATATCATTTGGAAGGTGTTGCAGTGTACAAAAACCGTAACTCTGCCGTGCTAATTTTTGAATTAGTCCTTTTGTTTATTTTACACTTTGGAACTGTGTCCAGGACATAACTCTAAATGTTACAAGAGGTATCATCATGAAACTTTGTAGGTAGATAGATCTCATTGAGTAGGTGTGCAGTGCACAAGAACCGTAACTCTGCCTTGCTAATTTTTGAATTATCCCCCTTTGTTTATTTACACTTTGAACTTGTCCGGGACATAACTCTAAAACTATAACTCTATATCCAATTTGAAAACTTTGTAGGTAGATAGATCTCATTAAGTAGGTTTTGCAGTGCACAAGAACTGTAACACTGTCTTGACCTACTTTTCGAGTTATTGCCTTTGTTCAATTTTGACACTTTGAACTTTGTCCGCGGAACATTACTCTAAAATTATAAGAGATATCAACATGAAACTTTGTAGATAGATAGGTCTCATTGGGTAGAAGTGCAGTGCTTAAGAATCATTACTCTGCCTTGCCTTATTTTGAAGTTATTGCCCTTTGTTTATTTTTACTTTTTGACTTTTGTCCGGGACATAACAGATATCAGCATGAAACTTTGTAGGTAGCTAGATATCATTGGATAGAACTGCAATGCTTAAAGAACCTAAACAAAGCCTGGTCTAATTTTGGAGTAATGGCCCTTTGTTCAATTCTACACTTTGAATTTTACCCGGGACATAACTCTGAAACTATAAGAGATATCATCAGGAAACTTTATAGATAGATAGATCTCATTGAATAGAAGTGCTGAGGAAAAAAACCAAACTCCGCCTTGCCTAATCTTGGAGTTTTTGCCCTTTGTTCATATTTTATACTTTCCTGTGTCCAGAACCTTCTCGGGGAGCATCACCCGGTTCAACCGGTTCTTGTTTATACTGTCAAACCGTTACTGACATTTCAGTAACCGGAAATTCTATCGGCAACACTGGCAAATTTTTACTGTTAAAACCTGAAAGTATTTTCAAGGTCTTAGACTAAAATCAATAGATTATACGCAAATTTTAGTATCAATTCCGCTTACAAAATATAAAATGGTGCCTTCTCAACCCAATAATGGTGATTCTTTTATCATATTGAAATAATCTCCCCTTAAACTTCATAAACAAAATTACTTTCCAGCATTCGTTTGCTGTATAAATATACCACAGTATATATATATTATTTCAAATAAATATATAGAGATGTAATATGATAGGGGAGTCTAAAGATTATTCTTGTATAGATTTGATTAAACTGTTTATTTGTTTGCTTTCAGACAAATGAAAAAAATTGACGAGCGTTGCTCCTAACCGGCGATTGCTCTTGTTCTGTTTTGTTTTCAGTGCTATGTTGCCGAATCTCGTATTGATGTACATTATTCTTTTGTTACCTTCCGATATATATGTATAAATCTCCTAATCTGTTCTTTTGAAAATTCTTGTCTTTTCAATGATTTATTGAAATATCCACTACTTAATTGTGTGAGATCATGTCATTGTAGTGACAAATAAACAGCATATGGTTGGAAAGCCTTAAAACTCCTTAAAAATTAAGTAAATTAATCAATTGAATATTTAATCATCATGTATTACTAGTCACACATTGATAATATAACGATAACTCCATAGCATGTACGCAAGCAAATTTGATATAAATCGCTTGAATAATTTTGAGTACTAAAATTTATACTCCGATGTTGATATGTATAACAGCCGATGAATTTCGGATAAATTGTTTCGTAAGAATTTTAAAATCAAATCATAAATTAGCTTGGCATAATTGTATTCTTTTCATTTGATATTAGTTGATTTTTGACCGTTATTTTCTGTTAAATTGTTTGCTATATTACATGCCTTGGTTTAATAAAAAGTTGAAACTGATGATAGTATAGATAGAGTATAGGTTAGTGTTTAATAATACGTATTAACAAAAACAATTGGTCGCCTGCCGCATATTAAACATTAACCTGTTTAATGATCAACATTATTTTCTTCAACCAAAAACAAGGCGTTTTTGGTCAAAAATCAGGGTCACAGTGACGCTGAATGTAAAATTATTGACCTGTCAATAAGTTGTATAAATGGCACTTTTACAGGCTGATCCTTGTACTATAGCACATGTCTAGTTAATTAGGGAAATTCATTGGCGTCCGCGCCGAAGCGCGGCGCCTCTTTTGGAATGAGAAAGGGCGGCAGCAACTTCTCGGGCTTTTTAGTCGGTTATAATAGCCGATCATTCCGATTGGTATGAGGGTGTTTGATTAAATGAATAGCGAATTGAAGAATCTCGCAATGCAAATACATTCAAATGAAATAATCTTTTCCGCCAATTAATCTCGCTCTTCGGGATTTTATTAATCATTTTGTAGTTCATGGTAATGTATCCGAAAGCTTTAAATAGAATGATGACCTTAGTCTGAAAATCTTTTTATAGAGGAATGTACTATTCGCAGGTCTCCTATCGGTAATTCCCGGTCTCTCCCGGTCTGTTTTGACCGGGATTTACTAGAGACCGGCGAATAGTATCACACGTTTATTGTCGTTTTGGAGTGGATGTTTATATCGGTACAGACAAATAATTTTTTTTCCAAAATGAATGTTTGTCACTTAGTTTGGTTACAATAAAAAGTAGTATACGTAAAAAATCAGTATTAAAATGGCACATAAACACACACACAAAAAAAGAAAACAATATTAATAAAATATGTAAAAAATAATATTAAAATAGATCTTACAATTATTTTATAATAAAACAATTATGCTCAACATGATCAACAGGGTATTATAACCATTGTCATATTTTTACTAAGTGTTAACAGATATCTTAAGACGGGGTCTTCGCTAATTAATAGCGATAACATAATAAGGGACAATACACAAGTGTGGTGTTGATCAGGCATTACACAAATGGATTATAAATGATTGTATATATCCGTTGCTATTATTAATCGCGATATTACATTTATGATCATAAAAAATAACAATTATAAAATAATATTAAATATGTATTTTATTATTTTCGAAATGTTAAAGAAAATCGCCAAGTAACATGCTAATATTAATGTATTATTCATATAACAAAATAGATTATTACAAAAAAATATACTATTAAATTGCTGCATTTCTTGCTTGGACGCCCTTTGATGCTTTGCATCAATGCTTTTCTTGTATAAATAAATGGTGTAATCTGATTGGTTATTTATCTCGTGGCCACGACTAAGCTATCTCGTGGCCACGACTTAGTTACTCGTGGCCACGACATAGTATCTCGTGGCCACGACTTAGTAACTCGTGGCCACGACATAGTATCTCGTGGCCACGACTTAGCTATCTCATTGCCACGGCTTAGTAACTAGAGGCCACGAGAAAGTATCTCGTGGCCACGACTTAGCTATCTCGTGGCCACGACTTAGTAACTCGTGGCCACGACATAGTATCTCGTGGCCACGACTTAGGTATCTCATTGCCACGGCTTAGTAACTCGAGGCCACGAGAAAGTATCTCGTGGCCACGACTTAGCTATCTCGTGGCCACGAGTTAGTAACTCGTGGCTACGACATAGGAACTCGTGGCCACGACATAGTATCTCGTGGCCACGACTAAGCTATCTCGTGGCCACGACGTAGTAACTCGTCGCCACGACATTGTATCTCGTGGCCACGACTTAACTATCTCGTGGCCACGACTTAGCTATCTCGTGGCCACGACATAGTATCTCGTGGCCACGACATAGTATCTCGTGGTCACGACTTAGCTATCTCATGGCCACGACTTAGCTATCTCGAGGCCACGATTTAGTAACTCGTTGCCACGACTTATCTATCTCGTGGCCACGACATAGTATCTCGAGGCCACGACATAAATAAAAACACACACATGTCACCTTTGTGCATCCGTACCTTTGTGCCACCGTACAAAGGTGTACTAACTATCGGGGTAAATATAGTTGAGATCGTTTCTTTTTAAGAGCCTTAGGAATATTTCACTGGCATTGAAAAAAAAAAACTTAAAAAAGGACAGTTCGATATGAACAGAGTCCGGTTTTTTATTTCGGCAACTTCAACAATATTTAACATTTTAGTACATGATGCATATAATGGTCTCAATTGCTTCCCTGGTATCACTTAGTCTTCATGTATATTGAATACCAAATAAAAAAAATAACAAATATATATTTAGATACATTCAGTGAATTACTGGATTCAAAATTAATAAGTCACCATTTTGGCAACTTACTACTATTTAAGATCATGATTGGTGACACGTCTAGGGTCCATACTAATAGTGCCTGAAAGGGCGGATGGACCCTTATTGTACTAAGAACAAGTTCGCACTTTACTGGCATTGAATCATGTAATTCATAAACACAGAATTTGGAGAGAGAAGAGAAGAAAAGAAAAAGAAACAAAACAAAACAAAAAGAAATATATATGAAAAAATAGATATGTATACATGTATTTCATTTCTTTCGACAAAAGCAGTATTGAAAGAATATAATATGAAAAAGTGACATCATCTCCGAAAGAAGAAAAAAAGGGGGAAAATAATAATATTTGATAATAAAAGATGAATGACTTGAACTAATTATTTAACATAATTCTTGATTTAGTTTACAGATATTATAATAATGGGCGGGAAGTTAACAGATAATGATATGGACCAGCTGGAGCAATGGATAGGTACAGGTCCTAAAACATTCAAACTTCTCTACGCCATTACAAGAGATGGAGGATGTGTCTCTACAACGTTCCACCAGAAATGTGACAATCAATGACCTACAGTCACAGTGTTGTATAACCCACAAGGATCGGTGTATGGTGGTTATGTACAAAAAAGCTGGAAAAGTAGTGGCAATTGGACAAACGACACTCCTGCCTTTCTGTATCAGTTACGATTTAATGGGAATGATAAACGTACCAAATTTCCAATACAATCTGGAAATTCTCAGTATGCTCTATTCTGTAATTCAACTTACGGTCCATTATTTGGTTCTGGTCATGACCTCAGGACCTTCCAAAACACAGTAAACAGCTCAGGTACCTACTTTGCTCTCGATGGTCAAATGAACATTGGTAATTCCTACGACAATCAAGGTGTTACTACAGCCCAGATTAATAATGGTAACATGAACGTTACCGAGTTAGAGGTAAGCTGTGTTTTATCTTTTTATATACATGCAAACTGTTGATACCTTCGAAAACTGAAATTACACGATGCTAGGTATATTTTAAACATTTTCGATTTCTTATAATTTGTTTCTTTACATAATAATTTTTCAAGCTGTCGCTTTTTCATAAAAATATATGTAAAAATGACTTACATCAAATACTAGACAGTATTTGATAATATTTCTAATTCACAGAAATTCACCTTAACTCGATTAAAGTTTTTAATTAAATTTTAAAAAATATAATTAAGGTTAACAAATAAACTATCTATGTGGTGGTATTAGCATTGTAATAGTGATTATGATGATGATAATTATAATATTGTAAGTCATTAATATATTAAGTTTTAAATATTTTGTATGTTTCACTCCATTTAATTTCTTATAAAACATTTAACATATCAAGATGGGAAGAGGTCAAAGCCTATAAAGCAGGAGAACTTAAAACCATGGCGAAAGACTAAAAGCTGGAATGAACAGGTAATTTTAAAATATAAGCTTATTAATCTGTTATATGGACTAGTGACGTCCTGTTTTATATTAAGGTCTTCTACCAGCCTGTATCAGGCAATAATGTGCGTACTCGCGATGTTTCGTATTTGAAACTTATACAGAAGGAGATGAATCAAAATAGACGATTGTTGTACCTTTTCATATTGGAGTTTTTTTATCATCTAAAGAACAAATTATACTCTAATACATGTTAGCCTTAACAAGGTAAATTCTTTTAAAGCAGCACGCCTCCAGATTAATGCTAATTTTCATGAAAATTTTGAAAATGCATTTGACAGAAAAATATTGTGAAATAACTAAAAGAAAGCACATTTACACATTATCAATGACACTTTCAACCGAGAATTACCAAAAAGTGGTCAAAATATGCATAAATAGCTTTTTCTGCGTTAGTAAGGCGGTAGAAATATAGTTGTAAATACTGAAAAATCAGTCATTTATTGCACATAACATGGACAATATTACTTGAATCTTAAATCATTTTACTTTTCCTAAAATCTTAGTACATATTTTTCAAGTTTGATTTTATTGGAATATTTTACTCATCTGGAGGCGTGCAGCTTTAAATATAGATAAAAAACTTGATTTGGTTTGTACAGAATTCATTTTATTTCGATTGTGTAGAAAGTTGTTAGGTTAAAGACATACTTTTGAATCCGTTCCTGGAACCAACCAGTACTGAGCAATTAGTGTAAAGTTGCTGAAGGAAACAACGACTTGCCCCTTGCGGGGTTTAAAATCATCCGACTAGAGATCATTAGATAGTAGTCCAACGCATTAACAACTCGGTCATGCTGCCACATAATAATATTTAAAAAAATTAACTTAAATAAATTAAACAAAGAAAATAGTTTATCCATGATTGATTAACGTAATGAAGAATTTCACTTTTTAAAAATTATGTCTACTAAACTTTTAAATAGACATCATTTCATTTGGCAAAGTTGCTAAGCTGCTTTCAAAACTAATATTGTGAAGTATCTCGAAACCGTGACTGTATGATTTTATGTAGGTATTATACTTTTTCGACAACATGGTTGTTTTTCTTTCAGTATCTAAATGAGCTAACTGAGGATATTGTATCCTTCAAACCAATTCCTGACTTGAAAGTGACAGATGCCCGGATTTTGATTATTGGTCCAGTTGGTGCAGGAAAGTCGAGTTTTTTCAACACTATCAATTCAATCTTTCGAGGTCGAATTACACAGAAGGCGCGTAGTGGTAGCGCAGAGCAAAGCCTTACGACTGCTGTGAGTATTAATGCTATTTGGACTACGAATCCTTAGCAAAGTCGTCTATGCGTAATCATTAGAGAAATGCATTAATAAGTAGAAACGAAGTATCACTCTTTCTATTTATACCTATAAATAGAGTGAAAGCCTTGAAAAAACTTTGAACCTAAATTGACTCAATTCATCTTTAAACATATATACACTATGTGAAGATCATATTTATGTATTACCCACATACACCATTCTTCATTATTCCTCCTCACTATTTTTAAGATTTTAATTTTCAAAAGGCCAGTGTGAGATATTCTTTCTGTTAATTCGAGTGTGCTGTAATATTTGCACTGTTACATAGTTAACAATAAATTTATTTGTATAATATAGTAAAAATCTGAAAAATAAAAGCCCCTAGAAATTGTGTGTCAATGAAGTATTTGTTCGAGGTAAAAAAATAAATAACACATAGTTTGGGACTGGTGATGTATAAGCTGGTGGCCTGAATCATATTAATAAAGAATTGAATTGAATATGCTAAGCATAATCAGGTGTCAATAATCAGGACTAATAAAAAATATCATTCCTCGTACATATACTGTATCCCTCGTCTAAAGCCTCGGGTAACGGTATTTTCCTCGGGATGATATTTTACTGTTACTCACACACCTATTTGTTATTTATATACAATCAAGCATTATATCGGAAAATATCATTCTTTGACCTAATTAAAATGCATTCTGTTTTGCTTACTGTGGTCGCCATATTTTGATATTTAGCATATTTCTTTTCTGAAATAATTTTTACGAGAATTTTGCTTCAGTACACCCCATACAAGGTAAAGGTCAAGTCGGGGGCACCACTGAACTTCCGGTTATGTGACACACGTGGTTTAGAAGAGTCCCAGGGTCTGGATGTAGTCGAGTGTAACTATTTGCTGGATGGTAATATGCCAAATTATTATCAGGTATGCAAAAAGAACTTCAACTTGTATAGAAATATATAGAATTTAATTTAATAATTCTTGCAAAACTGATAATGCAACGTCGACTCATTACACAATTAAAATTAAAATAAACTTGGTGGCCAGATTAAAAATTCTAATTTTCAAAAGCAGCAAAGGTGATTTAATTAAACTAGAATGTTATGCCATGATTTCAAGACAATGTTTTGAATTACTTTGACACATCAAGTATTATAAAAAAAATAAAATAAAATAAAAGTAGTACCCTTCATATACTACTCAACTTTTGTTAAGCACCATAAAATAAATTTCATATTATCACAAGTTTAAAACAGATTACTTTCCAATTTTTGAAAATTTTGATTCAGCAATGTTTTGAGATAGTCCCTTGATATGAATCCGTGTTGACTTATCCGTTACAATTTTTCTAGGTAGCATGGAAAGCATGCATTCCAATATTTTTATGTTGTTGATGGGGTGTACAATCACATGTATTTTGTTATATAGCGACATATCCGGCTTATTGTCATTCAGTGGCTTACATTTCTTAGATCTGTCACCTCGATATTGCGAATGCTAACATTAGGCGGCATTTGAGAGAAGCATAGTTGTGAAAGGCTGTAGGGATGGTGCAGCAGGAGGCCACCTTCCGCCAGGTTACTGTGGCAATTGGTGTACACCAAGATCGGTTTTTAGACGTTCAGTCACGTCGTGTTAGGTTTTCGACAGCAATTTTTCTTCGAAATGACCTCGGTAATGCTGCGGGATCCGTGATTCCACGCAGACGGTACATAGAAGGCTGCATGAAGGTAATTTGCGGTCGAGAAGACCTTGCATACGTATCCTTTTGACGCGTCGACATCGCCAGGCCCGTTTGGAATGGACCGTGAAGTCATGGTGGACAATGCAACCATGCAACACTGGAGACACGTTCTGTTCTCTGATGAATCTAGCTTCTGTCTAGACTCCTCAGATAGGTGTGCTGGAGTCTGGAGAAGACGGAATGAACGGTTTCAGGATGCAAATATTGCTAAGCATGGCCGTTACGGAGGTGGGCCAGTAATGATGTGGGGAGGCATCAGCTGGGATGGACGAACCGACCTGGTTGTGCTAAATAGAGGCAACTGACAGGTCAGCGATACATAGACGACATCTTAGACAACAAGGTTAGGTTGTATGCTGGAACAGTCGACGATCAGTTCATTCAAATAGACGATAATGCTCGCCCCCATAGGGCCAGGGTGGTCCAGGACTACCTAGAGAGCGAGTCTATTTAGCGTATGGACTGGCCAGCTCGCTAACCTCACTTAAATCCAAGAGAACACATGTAGAATGGTGTGCAGGTTAGAATTTCAGCTCGTCAGCTGTAACCCAGAACCATCCAGGAGCTTGCAGTCATGTTGGTCCAAGAGTAGACATCCATACCCGTTAGAACGATCAGAAACCAAATAGGTATTATGAGAAGGCGCTGCCAAGCTGTCATTGATAGTCATGGGTCACACACACGGTATTAATCTAAAACTGTAAACAAAACAAAACAATTTTACAATTTTGGAAAACACGCTGCATGTTCTGAAATCTTTAAAGAGGGAGGACATCCTCTTCTCCAGCACGAAAATGGTGTAAAACTCATTTATAGGGCTAAATTCGCCCTTAAGCTGATTTGATAAAACAATAAATCAACATTAAAATCCTTATCCCCAAAAAAAATCACACTTAAACATATGGTGCTTAGCAAAGGTTGAGTAGTATCTATATTTTGTTGTGTTTATATTTTATTTTATAGTTTCTGTTTTAAGTTTCATCCAACCATACAAATAACACTAAAAGCGCCAGGTTTCAATGCAAATCCTACCGCGAATGACGTCATACACTGTGCAGTTTTCGTTTTAGACGCAACCACATTGGAGATCTTAACACCAAAAATTATAGAAAAAATAAAAGCATTTCAAAGGATTATGCATCAAAAAGGTATTAGCTATTTTTGATGAGTTTTATGAGGACATACGCTGACCGTCAATATAACTTTACAAGTGGAGGAAGACATAGGGTACCATTCCATACATTATTTCTTGTACGAGAAGAACTATTAAAACTCCGTAATGAGCTTTATACAACCCCGTTTTGGTAAAGCAATACAGGTGCACCGTACAAAACATCTATATTTATCTCGTTCGATGAAAAACAACTAGACATATTCACACCATACGTTCACCACAATGGCTTTACAAAATAAGAGATAAGGCGAAAACCAAAGTAACATTGCTTTCTTGTGTCATTCTTTTTGCCCTAAGGGTATTGGCTGGCATGCATTAAGCCATTTGATATTTTCATTATATTTCTAAACACCAATGAAATGTTTTCACATTCCTAAGAATGAGAGATGCTTTACACATCTTTTGAAATAAATGTCCATTTATTTCTGATTTCCTAAAATTTGTCTGCTTGTCTGGAAAGAGTCTTCTATGAATGGGTCCGATCATGTGCGCTCCAACTTGTAATATTCCATTAGGTCGTCAAAGGCAATCAAAAGAGAAGGCATGTTAGTCATATACAGAATGGCTAAACGTTCAGAACAGATTAGTTGCCAAACAATTTAAACACCATCATCCCAAAGTTCAGACTGTTTGTGTCATAAAATTATTTTAAATCCGATTAGTTTTATTTAATATATATGATAGTCATATTAAAAACTGTTTCAGAAATACCACAACTTATCCTTCTGACAAAGGTAGATAAACTCTGTAAAGAAGTCGGAGAAGATGTGTCATTGGTCTTTAAGAGTCCGGAAGTGGAGCAACACGTGGAAAAGGCCTCGCAACTCCTCGGACTACCACCTGCAAACGTTCTTCCCGTAAAGAATTACCACAATGAAGTAGAGCTCGATGAAAGCATTAGTATACTGGCATTGTTGGCGTTGCGCCAAATTTTGAATTTTTCCGAAGATTTTCTGGACCATATGTTGGATAAAAAAGAGGACGAAGAAAAAGGGATGGAAAAACTTAAATCTGAAAACTAAGAGACTCGTGATTGGACCTTAAAGGTTCCATAATAACGCTGTGTGGACGCATCTACGGATGTTTTAAATTAAAAAAATACCATTTGTATTCCTAAATATTGAATTGTGCTGAAGCCGGTACCAGTACCGTCCATGAACAGGCTCAATTTAACCAAGCCTGTAGCACTTTCAATTTTGCCGTTTTGGACGTTCTTAAGGAGGCAAATAAAAAATTCAATGTAATTACAATAATTTAAGAACACTAAACAGCAGCTACATCTGTATTTTGAAACATATGGATTTTCAAGGTTTAAAGAAATGTTAAAATTTGCCAAGCAAAATTCTAAAAGTTACAAATTCTTTGTTGATTTCCAAGCACTGGAAATGGGGCTTTTGATAAGCGACCTATATTTTTGGATTCGTTTCTTCAGTTAATTTCGTTAATGGATGTGACCCTTTTAAATACATTTACCTATATTATCCATAATTTTACCGTTTCACTATTAATGACTTTCTAATGAAATCATTATAATATAATATGATTATAAATTCATGTTTGAATTATTGTGTTTCAAACAGATGTATGTAAGAGGCTACAAGGTTTTAATATTTTGTTAATTCCTAAACAATTCTCTAGGAAGTTTACATATAGTTCACACCTTTATGTTTCTTTGCATATTCAATTAAAGAGTATTTTGTTCAAAATTGTTTAATTTCAATCCTGAAACTATACAATTGTCTTTCTTTGTATTGAATTTAAAACTTTACATTTTAATTTATTTGAATTATATGTCTGCAAAAAAATATGCCAAAGTACATTGCACTTTAACATACTTACGCTGGATAATTTGCCAGAACATGATATCCATTTTATTTGCATTTTTGAATTTCGAATCATACAGTTATGAAACAAATAAGCTGTGTTAAAAATAAATCAACGTATTGATTCAATACATATTCACATTCTAAATTACATACTATCAAATGTTCACACACGTTTAATGACTACACTTCAAAGTACATTTTGTAAGAATCTATATACAAAATAAAGCATCATATCTCATTTCATTAATGACTTATTTAGACTGTTTATACAGTAATGAAAGAAAAAACAGTAATAGAAACTAAACTAATAAAAAATATTGAAAATAGATGCAATAATTTCTATAAAAGCTTGATCTGAACCGATCCACAACATTCTTTTTTATTTTGAAAATAATTCTAAAGAAATACCTTTTAATTCGTATATCTGAAATAAAACCTTATAATTTGTATATCTGAAATAAAACCTTAATACGGATTGATCATATTAGTAAAACAAATATAACAAATTGTTGAAACACACACGCACGCACTCACGGACACACATAATAATATATTCTTGCATGTTTTGCTTTGCTTAAAAAGGATCTCGTTTTCAAATTATATTTGCAAAGACGTAAACATGATCAGTGCTGAAAGCTCAAAAGTTGATAGTGTTTTGTTGTATGATGCAGTACAATTTACTTCAATCTGAAAACACAACACATACTGTTTATTAATATGATCTGACCTCAGATAACATGAATTGACTGTAGTATCGATATATTGTAACACCTCATTAGGACTAATCAGGTTGGCAAAATACAGTGTGACAATACAAAAAATTGTATCAGGAGAAATTAATTATAAAAATTTATTTCTTTTCATTATCACAGGTTAAAAATAACCTTCTTGAAATATAACAAAATACATCCTTACTACTGTTTAATGTTACTATAGTTCAGCCCTTATTTTCATTTCTCAACTAATATGTCTAGGGAGCGTGAGGGATGTTGCATTTTTCCATTATCCTTAATGTACAGACCCAATCAAACAGAGTCTAATTTTGCTGATTTCAATGCTTCCGAGGGATCACTTTTTTCTAGATATTTACCTGACAAAAAATACTTTCATTGCATTTTTATACAGTGAATTTGTTATTATTGTTTACTTTATTTCAATAAAGCTGTTTTATCTACGAATATAGTTTACCATACATTATAGTGTATATGAATAATTATTTTTTCAAGATATAGTGCATAAAATTATTAAGACATGATGCGAATAACAAATTCTATAAGCCTTGAATTAATGCAAAAGGATGATATTCTAGAACGATGATCAATTCAGTTATATTTTTTATTTTGCGCGTTAAAGACACTACACATTAAACACATAAAGGAATTAACTCTGACCCTCCCAGAACCAAAAGTAACTGACCTTTGCCAACAGTTTACAGTGAAGCAAAATCCTTCTCTGACTAGACTCGATTCTGTTAGTGGCGCAAGTTTAGTATTTTTTTATTGACAATTCTTAAAATTAGAGAAACTGTTCCGAATTTGAAGCAGAGCAAATTCATCTTTATTTTGATTTTACCCTAGATATCAATGAAATGACAAAAACCAGATCATTGTATGTCTTGCTTACTTACTGTAAATAAGTACATAGTTTTAAACATTTTTTACAACATATGATATTATCTTTATGTAATTTAACATTGATCTGAACAACACGTGAATCTTATGACGAGTGCACAGTTGAAAGAACCAAACATGATAAGCCGCTAGGCGAGTCTAATATGATTTCTTAATCTGTATTGGGGTATATGTCTAGTGTTTTAAAATCTGGTTATTCTATATCGAATCAAATAAAGGAAATGAAAAACGTGACGTGATACCATATCATGGTTTGACGGATTAAAATATACTGATCATGAACGACAGTCAGATGCGTTTTCGCAAGACGCTTTCAAGTTTTTTTAAGATTCAAATTTACAATATACTTGTATTGGATGGTACATAGTCCTATATAAAGTATACTGGAAGGTCAAATGGAACCATTTAAGGTTATATTTAATGTCAAAGAATAAAATATAATATTTGTTCTTTCCACGGCTATTAAGTTATAAAATGTTACGACATATATACTAATGTATAATGTTGTAAGAAGTATGTTTCTAAAAATAATCTTTGTAAATTACATGTTAAATGAAAGCCCCTTTACTCATTAGAAAAAAACTATCAGAAAAATATATAACTTTCATAAATGTTCATCATTATTTTTGCATTTGATTAAGACAAAGGAAACTTCAACAATGACGGTCAAATTGAACCATTGTTTTAAAAAAAACTATAAAAAGCTTGAGACCTGATCAAATCTTATAAAACAACAACCTTCATTTATGTATAAATACTAATATATATCCTTTTAAATGAATAACCTTAATCATAATTCTATCAAAATGATTCAGCCTTCATATTACACAAATGAATCCATATTTGATATTTGTTTATATTTGCTTAAACAAATACCTTGTTTTTATGTGTAGTCTAATGTTAGATGATCGATATAAGCTTCAACGTAGAAAATCCAGTTCCAATCATCATAACTTTTGAAATAAGCATTCACGTTTCATGCATTCATCTTTGATATTTTAGTATACATTTATAGTGATGTATATCCTTGAATATAAGTCAAGTTACTGTACAATGGTTTGCTTTCACAAACTAAAATGAATTGTCCTGGTCAACAAAACAACAAACAAATGTTCAGGGGCTATTAAGAAACATAGTATAAACAGGTAAATTCTGTAGGTGTACAGGTTTTCTACAATACAAAACATTAAAAATGAATTTGCAGCTGATTATGTTGTTTCAATGTCGAAGTGAAGAAACGAAAAGGTAAAGATTATGACACTATTTGTATTGATAAATTTAATTTCTTAATATATTGCTGTGTAGAAAATATACTAGCATTTTATTAAATGGTGGCATTTGTTACCTTTTTTCTAGCTTCTTACAACAAGAACGGCTGAATCCTTATTGTTACGTGACACGCAGTTAGATACAAATGGCAGCCAAATCAGAGATTTCCTTGGTAAAAGACGTTATATAGTTATGACCAAAGGCATGTGCATGCTTTGTTTCACAAGTGTTATCATGATAAAAAATCTCATTGCTGCACACTAATGCTGCGTTATTCTCAACATAGTAAATTAATTGGAATTTTCTGCTACATTTATTTTTCTCCCAATATAATATGCATTATAGACTCGGAGCTCTTGTTACCTCCAAACACCCCCGCTTCAATGGCATTTAAACATGTGTTTAATGGTAATAATGATAAAACAGATTGATAAAGTACATGCTACTATCATAGCTTACAGTCACAATTTAATTTCGTCATCTATTTTAAGTGTAACAGCTAAATATATCCATCAACAATTACTTTTTTCTATTTTTTTCTATTTTTCCTGACAGTTATTGGTTGTATTAAGAAGTACAAATTGTTTATATGTGCGTTTCATTTAGTTTGTATACTAAACCATTAACAAAGAAGGTGCAATATGCACAATATCTACAGCCACGCTTTAAAACTCGATACATTATAGTAAATAAACTGCACATAATTAGTAAATTATTTCTATCCGTACTATTGAATCCATTACATTCTTTTAAAATCACTTATTGTGCATTTTATACCTTGGCATAAATAAATTACTTCAAAACATCTAGATGTACTTAACTATACAACATAACTTTCAAAGCTATTTTTTTTATAAATATCCAAGAATCAGCCAATCGTTGAATTCAGAGGAGGTTAAAAATGCGTATAAATTCAATAATAAATTCTTTTATGGGTATGTGGGATATTTATAAATGATACTCCTAAATTGTAACATGTGAAACCAAATATAAACAAGAAATGTCGAACGACACATATGCCTCCCTTTCTAGACATTGACTATTTCGTTATAGAAACTTGCCATAAATGGGTACATGGAAGTTTTCAGTTATGGAAAAAAGAAAAATATGAAGACTTTGTGATAAATAGTTTTCAAGATAATCAGCGGAAACCATTCTGACATTTAAGGGTACTGTGACCTTAACCTTTGAACTAGTGACCCAAAATCAATAGGGGTCACTTACTAGTTATGACTATTCACTATGTGAAATATGAAGACTTTGTGATGCATAGTTTTTAAGATAATAAGAGGAAACCATTCTGACAATTAAGGCCCCTGTGACCTTGACCTTTGAAATAGTGACACCAAAAGCAATACGGGTCATCTACTAGTTATGACCAATCACTATGTGAAATATGAATTACTTTGTGATAATTAGCTTTTAAGATAATGAGCTGAAATCATAGGACCCTGTGACCTTGACCTTTGACCTGGTGACGCAAAATCAACAGGGGTCATCTACTAGTTATGACCAATCAATATGTGAAATATGAAGACTGTGAAAAATAGTTACCAAGACAGTGAGCGGAAAGCATTCAATTACGTATGGAATTTGACCTTGACATTTGACCTGGTGACCCCAAAATCAATAGGGGTCATCTACCAGTTATATGACCAATCAAATTGTGAAATATTAGGACTTTGTGATAATAGAAACCAAGATAATAAGTTAAAAACATACAACCATTCAAGGTCCCTGTGACCTTGACCTTTGACCTAGTGAATCATTAGGGGTCATCAACAAGTTATGACTAATCACTATGTGCAAAATAA